AAAGAAAAAAGAAAAAAAAAAAGGAAAAAAGAATTGTTGAAAAATAACTTGGAGAGGAAAGATGAGATGAAGCCAGGCAAGGAAAGGCAAAGAAAAGCAAAAGATAATAAAATGAAAGGGGGGGGAAAGGAAAAAGGTAAAGCAGTTGTAACTTTTCTTCTTAAGAGTTTTCATGGTGCTAGTGAAATGTATCACAGCCTAGCTGTTGACCTATTACAACTGCTTGTAGACCTCAGCCAAAAATTCTGATACTGATACAGCAACATATAATCTGTTCAATCTAAAAATAAAGACTGATACTTAGAAAATAGTGCAAGATTAATTTATTTACAAATATTTCAGCCAGTTATATTTTAGAGAAACTTTTTTTCTGAAGACTGAGGAAGAATAAAAACATAATTCAGAAATTTTAGACACATTGATCAGAAATTTTAGACACACTGATGCTTTGCTTGTTCCTTGGAGGTATTTTTAGTGTTGGCTTTTCCTTTTCTGGAAGCTTCTAATGTAACAATACCTTACACCACAGTGCTGATACAGGGATCAGTGATTCATTAAAAGCTAATCCATGAGACATTAGGTTTACAAGTGTCACAGACACATTAGATTTGAAAACAAGGAGGGACACAGTGGTGAAAGGATTGTCAAATATACAGAGAATATCCCCGTGAGTGGGTACTACCATTAGTTTTGCAAGAAAGCATTAGTTCTGAAAATTAATTTCATATGTGTAATTACTGGAAACAACTGTTTAGGACGTGGTATTATAGCAAGTTAGACTGAAATCAGTCAAAAGATGTTTTATTTATTTTTTGTCATTTGAAGTTTAAGCAGCACTCCTTATATTTAGAAATCCCTGCATCTGTAAAAAACCCACAAATATCACGTATATCTAATCAGTCTAATAACTCAGCTATCTTCACTTGCACACAATGTACATAGAGCTCTTCAGACTAACTCAGGGTTACTTCACTGTGAATGCCAGTCAGGTATCTACAGGGTTTGATATAATCTTTATAGAAAGAGAAAATGGCAGAAACTGCTTTACTTTTCCTCCATGGATAGTCGGTAAAGATTCTCGCCCAAGAACTCGAGCCTCTCCCTTTGCTCCAGGTCCTGGTACAAGCCCTTGGGCACCTTGCTCAGGCCGTAAACCAGGCCGAACAGGCAGCCGGCGATGGAGCCAGTGGCCGCGCTCTCCCCTGCAGGTTTAAGCACAATTGCAGTGGTCTCTTAGTGTCACCTTCACACACACAACCAAAAACTGTCCTGCCTGGAGGAGGGAGCATACCACACTGATGGAGCACAGTGGGGGCCTGTCGGGTCAGTCCTAAAGGCTAAGGATAAAAGTAAGAGCGCAGTGCCAAGGCAAGCACATGGAGATGCCACTGTGGTGTGCACTCCTGGGCTGGGAGCTCACTTGGTTTTGGGAAAATCTACCCCAGCACAGCAGCTCTTGCAGGCAGCTAGCATTGCTAAGAACAAAGCAGGGAGTAATAGTTTTACGGGTGAGTACTATGCAACAAAGGTTCTGGACTGGAGAGTGTCCCTTCCCTCCTCACAGCACAGTGCAGGCTCTAAAACACCCAGCCTTGCTGAGGAGCACTGATGCTCTGTGCAGGCAGTGCCTGTGGGTCTGTGCCTGCCAGGGTCTGCAGTGGGCGACTGAGCTCTCACCACTGTGCTGGGGCAGGTGAGAGACTCGGAGCTTCTGCAAAGGGCCCACCCCACACAGGGAGGGAGTGCGTAATTCAGGGTTGGGGTCCTATCCCCCAGCTATGCTGGCCCTCCCAAAAGCCCAGTAAGATTTGTCTGCGAATAAGAAAGTTCTCTCTCACAAAGTTGTAGAAGTCCTTAACTGTGCGCCTCCAAGTTCTGGATTTTATTTGGCTGGCATTTGTTTGGGTGCTGCATTATTTTTCTCCCTTACTTGGTTTCATTACATGCAGCTAAAAAGTTGTTTGGCGAAAGGTGCTCATGTCTGTCAGCATCTGCCAGCCCTTTAGAAAGCTGTACTGAACTTACTCCTCATGCACCTCTGGCAGAACCATGAGAAGTAGATGGAGCAGCACTTGAAAAGCGCTGTAAATGGCTTGTGTGGCAGCTGCTGCCAGAAGAACGGGGTTTAGAGGCTGAAACCAGACATGAGAACGTCACAGACAACATGGCAGATTGGCCAACAGAGGCAGCTGACAGCCAGGAGGGCTCTATCCCGGCCCTGGCGAAGGAGCAGGGGTGGGAGGCACAGGGGACCCTCACCTCCATGGAACATGGAGCGGTTGCAGAGCTCTGTCCAGTCCCCACCACAGCCCATCAGGGCGTCGTACGCGATCATGGGGGCGTCGTGGCCTCGTCTTCCCCCCCGGCCTTCGGAGCTCCAGCGCCGGTACGTCTGTGGGAGAGACAGCGCTGGCAGGGCAGGGCAGGGCAGGGCAGGGCACGGGAGCTGCAGCGTGGGGCACTGGAGCTGCAGCATGGGGCACTGGAGCTGCAGGTGTGAGCACTGGAGCTGCAGCGTGGGGCACTGGAGCTGCAGCGTGGGGCACGGGAGCTGCAGGTGTGAGCACTGGAGCT